CATGCGTTTACACGTCAAACTTTGATAACTTGTAGTTTGCTTGAAAAAAAAGATGTGAATTTAATAAAATATGTTTTGGAAAGGGCTTTTCGTCTACTTTTTAATGACGATGTTAGTTTTTAAAAGAAAAATTTTTTTGACCTTGAAAATTGAAAATTAAAACTTAATTTTCATTTTTCTCTATAATCGGTATTTTAAAAATTTTTTTTTTATTTAGAATGAAAGCTGAGCTTTTTTTCTATCAAAAACATATCTGCTCAAAATGGGACTAGAATTATTAATACATGAGAAATAACATTTACTTTTGCGCTAAAACAATGACGCGCTGCGCTCTCGCGCGCTGATTTTTGATGTTCACACTTCACTTCTAGATGAACACTCTCTGCATTTCACAGGGTTGAGACTGTCACTATTAATATGCCTGCATTATGCTCACCAAAAAATTAGAAAGAAAATAATTTTGTCTCCATTATTATGTGGCCTTAAAAAAGGCCGATTGGTTCTATTTTTCATGATTTACTGATTTCGTGGCCTTGAAAAAGGCCGTTTGGTACTATTTTTCATGATTTACTGATTTCGTGGCCTTGAAAAAGGCCGATTGCTATTCAGATAATCGGAAGTACACCCACAAATGATGAATGGTAATTGAATGAATGATAATAATTTTAAGAAAAAGTTTAACTTATGAATTGAAATTGCAAAAGCTTAAATGAAATTTTGAAAAAATGGAATTGTAACATTACTTTTTGTACACTTTTTTAGATTTTTTGGTACTTACCTGCACTTGATTTGATGACTTTCGTTTACTTTTAGGAAAGTAATCGAATTCTTCTGATGATGAAAATTTTTTTAATTTCAACTTACCGTCTTCGATAGGAATAAATGCGTGATATTTTAAAGTTCCCGTAATTGTTGCAGCTGAGTTAAATCTGGATTTCAATTGCTCAGAAGTTGTTGCATGGTCTTCTTTACTGCTAAAAAAGATCTCCGTTTCTTTGCAATTTTTCTTTGCCCACAAAAATAAAGCATAAGCATCAAGTATTCTATCTTGATTAGGACATTGCAAACTAAACCGTGCGGCATTTCTTTTAATATTTGCTCCTATCCCGTCGCATGCTCCCTTTCCGTGAGCAGTGGGATGGAAATGCCATTCGGCTGGTATATCAAAATCAGATTTATGTACTAATAAATTTGCAAAGTTGCTTTTGTTCTTAAAGTGCTGTCCAGCTCCATCTGAGACGTAATAAATTTTTTTGGACTATATGTCGTCTTTAGAAATTTTATTATAATTTTTTGAAATTCATAGACTGCAACTGTGTCGTGAACTAAATTGTCTGAAATAATTGCTAAGCTTTTGTGCTGCAATTTTTGATCTTTTACGAAATAAATTACTACTGTAAATAACGTAGCTTGATCATTATTCCAGTGAAATCCTTGTATCGAATCTTGAAGAACAAATTTGTAGTTTTCAGCAAAGTCGCATGAAACTACAAATTCGTCGTCTTTCAAGCCTTCTTTTAAATTTTTAAAAAATGATGACTGCTCTTTTACAAGAAAATCATGGGATCTGAGTTTTAACATTTCTTCACACAATTCGTTTATGAAGTCACTGGAATTTAGCACAATTGTCTTTAACGTACATCTGTCAGTTTGAAGCCAAGAAGCGTAAGTTATTTCGTCCAAATCGTGATCATCGAAGTATTTTATTAAATTTTCTTTCATTTTATCAACGCCTGGACAGTTGTTACATTCTCCAAACATACAACAAGGTGTTGCATTTGAACAAACTAAAAGCTTTAAACAATCACGATAGTTGTTTAATACAATACTAGAGTCGTTTGTTAAGCATTGGATATCTATTTCGTTTAACATCAACTTAAGATTTTCGTGATGCACACAAACACAGACCGTGTGAGTGCCACTACTGCCCGCCAAAACGCAATGTTTTGGTCTAAGTTGCGTGAATTTCGAGAAGCCTATCTTAATTTCTTCATTGCGTGATTTAAATTCTGTATACAATTCTTTTAAATTGCATAAAATCAATCTTTTTTGAACCAAAACCTTTTCATCATTTATTCGTACTGAAACACAGTCTTTAACTCCCGGCAATAAACGACTCATACTATCGTCCTCATAAAATTTTTTGACTAATGATTCAACATCGAGACTTAATGGATTCCCCTTTTTGCGATTTGGAAGTGTCAGAATTCCACTCTTAGCAACAAGATTTTTAGCGTTTCCAGCTTGGCGTTCGGAAGTTCCAAATTCAGATGCTATTTTTTTACGACTCCAAGATTTTGGAGCTAGTGTGAGAAGTAACATTTTTTCGTCACGACTAGTACTTTCTTGGAATTTTTCCTTAATTTGTTTTAAAACTTCGACACCTGCTAAGTGATATTCATCTTCACACGTCTCTGTTAACTTTTCTTTTTTTTCAGAAGGTAGTTCTTGTACTTTGTTAAGCTCCTTTCTACAAGCAGAACAAATTTTTATTTCTGCAGTTAATGAAGGAAATCGCAATAGTAAATTTTGAGATATTCGCCTAATATCAACTGATTTGTGGTTTTTTTTATTAAACGGATTAAAACACGTATTGGACCATACTTTCGTAGATTTTTCTTCCTTCGTAGATGACATGATTTTTGAATTACAATTTTCAATTTTAGAAAATTAGTTCAAAATTAAAAAAAAAATTTTGCCGAAAATAAAGATTAAAAAAACACGAATTAAAAACAGCTGAAACGAAAATTACGAAAAAAAACTAAAATAAAAAAAATAATAAAGAAAAAACTAAGTTTTTAATAGTAAAATCCACCTACCTTATTAATCAATCGTTTGCTAATAAATTGTAGTAAATTTCTTAAAGAAAATAAATTTATAGCAGTAATAATTTGAACGGAGAAGCAGTCCTTTATATAGTATTGAATAACTTAACTCAGTTTCGAGAAACTCTCAGATCAAGCTCTGCGACATCTGTCGGATGAAATTAGCACTATTGACGGTGCTCATCCAAAGTAGTTAGGTGAAACTCAGCGCGCGAGAGCGCAGCGCGTCATTGTTTTAGCGCAAAAGTAAATGTTTTTTCTCATGTATTAATAATTCTAGTCCCACTTTGAGCAGATATGTTTTTGATAGAAAAAAAGCTCAGCTTTCATTCTAAATAAAAAAAAAAATTTTTTAAATACCGATTATAGAGAAAAATGAAAATTAAGTTTTAATTTTCAATTTTCAAGGTCAAAAAAATTTTTCTTTTAAAAACTAACATCGTCATTAAAAAGTAGACGAAAAGCCCTTTCCAAAACATATTTTATTAAATTCACATCTTTTTTTTCAAGAAAACTACAAGTTATCAAAGTTTGACGTGTAAACGCATGAGTCCTGTACAACATGTGATCCGGCCTCATGCGTTTACACGTCAAACTTTGATAACTTGTAGTTTGCTTAAAAAAAAAGATGTGAATTTGATAAAATATGTTTTGGAAAGGGCTTTTCGTGTACTTTTTAATAAATATTTTAGTTTAAAAAAAAAAATTTTTTTGACCTTGAAAATTAAAAATTAAAATTTAATTTTTTTGTAAAATTAATTAACTAGTATTAATAATTCTAGTCCCATTTTGGGCAGATATGTTTTTGATAGGAAAAGAGCTCAGCTTTCATTCTAAATAAAAAAAAATTAAAAAAAAAATACCGATTGTACAAAAAAATGAAAATTAAATTTTAATTTTTAATTTTCAAGGTCAAAAAAAATTTTTTTTTAAAAACTAACATCTTTATTTAAAAGTACACGAAAACCCCTTTCCAAAACATATTTTATCTAATTTTTACCTTTTTTTTAAAGCAAACTACAAGTCATCAAAGTATGACGTGTAAACGCATGAGGCCGGATCACTTCCCGTGAAATCCCCCATATATTTCATTGAAGAATTTTCGAATAATTCACTGGTTCGAGCCCTGATTTGATTTTACTTTTTTTCTATTTTTTATTTTCTCTATTCATTTTTATTTTTTATTTTATTTATTTTTATTTTAAGTAGCTTTTTTATATTTTATTTTTCAATTTTGTTTATTCATTTTATCTTTACCTTTTTCATTTCTTTTTTTATCTTCAATTTTACTATTTTTATTGTGGCTTTTTCTATTTTATTTTTCTTTATTTATTTTTATTTTAGTTTTTTCTATTTTATTTTTCTTTATTTATTTTTATTTTAGTTTTTTATATTTCATTTTTCTATTTTTTATTTTCGTTATTCATTTTTAAAAATTTTTTTTTAATTTTATTATTTTATTCATTTTTCTTTTAGTTTTTTTTATATTTTACTTTTCTATTTTCTTTATTCATGTTATCTTTACATTGTTCATTTTTTTATCTTTAATTTTTGTTCTTACCTTCTGACTATTTTATTTATTTTCATTTTAGTTTCTTTATATTTTATTTTTTTATTTTGCTAATTTATTTTATCTTTACTTTTTTCATTACTTTTTTAATATTTAATATTGTTCTTTTTGTAGTAGATAGCTTTTTCTATTTTATTTATTCATTTTTATTTTTTTATTTATTTTTATTTTATTTTTACATTTTTCTAGTTTTCCAATTTTATTTTTACTTTTTTTAATTTTTTGGTAATTTTAAAATTTTATTTGTTAGGTACTGTTTAAAATTAATTAATTAACTTTTTAAATTTTATTTGTTACTTTTTTATTCAATCAATTAATTTTTTTATTGTTACTTTTTTTATCCTTTTATTTTTTCTCGTTTTAGTTTTATTCTATTTTTTATTTTTATTTTATGTCGTTACTTCAATTTGTATAGTTTTTAAAAAGTGACAATAATTTTCTTAAAAGACGATGATAAAAGTTAAAATTTTTCTTCGACTCATTTAAAAATTTTCCATCCTTTTCACTTGCTTTAAAATTTGCATATAATTAAGTTAATTTACTAGTTGTTTTGGTATATAATTATTTAAACTGTAAATTTCATGTCGACTTTTTTTCATTTACAGATTCATGATGTAGTTTTCAAAGTGCCTCGAGAAGGAGTTGATTCCAAAAAAGTGAGTTGAGAATTAATTAATTATTAATTTATGTATTATTAATATTGGCAGTAGATTTTTGTCAATTGTTAACCTAATTCTTGGGCTAATATTGGCAGTAATAGTTAGCCTTAATATTTGACCAAAACTAGGTTAAATTTAATAATTATAATAATTATAACAGTAATTAGCTAATTCCTGAACCAATATTGTCAATAATAATTTGTCCAGTAATTAGCAAATTCCTGAACCAATATTGTCAATAATAATTTGTCCAGTAATTAACAAATTCCTGAACCAATATTGTCAATAATAATTGTTTCAGTAATTAACTAAATCTTGGGCAAATATTGGCAGTAATAATTGACCTAATATTTAGCCAAACTTTAGGTCGACATTCGCAATAATAATTGTCCAAGTAATTAGCTAAATCTTGGGCCAAAGTTTCGGAATTATATGTTTCGCTAAAGAATATAATATGTAGCAAAAAAAAAATAATTTAATAGGAAAATTAGAGAAAAATTGAGAGCTCGTATAGAGAAATAGAGAAAAGGAAATATGAATCGAGTTAATTAATATACTATTATCAGCAATAATAGGGAGGTCATTTTTACACGTTGGTCACGGTGACGCGACGACACTATGTGTAATTGTTCTTCATTGTTCTCGAATCGTGAAGCATAATGAAAAGTATAAAGTAACATTTTGCCAGTTTAAGTATCGAAGCGCGCTCATAAACATTGTTGCGGCGGTTGTGGCTTCTACTGGTTCACGGTTCGTCGCAAGTGTCGCTAAAGCGCGTCTATATTTAAACCGCAAAATACTATCAGTTATTTTGGAAATTTGTCGACTATATATCTATATACACACTAGACATATAAATATTCGTGGAATATAAAGGAGAGAGAGAGAGAGAGAGCAAAAAATTCTATAACAAAAGTTTTTAAATACTTTTTCCTTTTTTCTCAAAGAAAGAAAGGGTAGAACTGTTTTTTTTGTCGGAAAGGAAAATTAATTGTGAATTTCAAGTTTATTGGGCGGTGGATTTAATATTTTTGCGGCTTATTTAATCGTTTCGGTGAATTTAACATTATTTTCGGTGAATTAAAAATTTAGTTTTGGGGAAATTAAAATTTTTTGTGGAGAAGAAAATTAGTTTATTTTTAAAAAGAAATTAGTGAATTTAAAAAAATAAAATAAGCCTTAACAAGGGCCTTGCTGGGAACTATTCAAAAACTGTCTGTCTCTTCATTGAATTCCTATTTTCATTAGGAGAAAGTAGGCTTTAGGGTTGTCACACTGAATTCGGGGAAAAGTCAGGGATTTTTATTAAAAATACTGGAAAAAATTAAATTTTTAGAATTCATAGGAAAATTCTGAATTTTGGAGTTTTTTTGTTTGACTCATAAACTATAAAATTTCTCTTTAAATAACTTCATTCTTGAATAACTATCATAAAATTATTATTTATAAATTATTTAGTGAATAATTTTATTTAAATACTTCAAAATTAATTCAATTTTAAAAGAGTTGTGTTTACAATTTTCATAAATAGATCAACTTCAAAAGGTTTCAATTTAAAATTTTATAAAATTCCAATTTTGAATGAATTTAATTAGAAATTTTAAAGAACTTAGATTTTTGATAAATATTAATAATTCAAATTCTTCTGAAATTAGTTTAATTTTTTAACATAAACTTAGCTAATTATTAAGAATAATCGATTTATAGCTAAGAATTTTAGTTAAAAACACTAAAAAAAATTGAATTTTGAAGAAGTTTCAAATGATTACCAAGCTGAAGTCCACAACGTTGATCAACGAAAAAAAATTGTTTATTTAGTAAATTAATTAAAAATAACGTAGCAATATTGACACAAAAATATTTAGAAAAAAAATATTGATGTTTATATTTTGATAATAATTACTTTACAATTAAATATTAAATTAAAAATAATACTTGAATGCATTAAACAAATTTTTTTCGTTGATAAACGTTGTGGACTTCAACTTCGTAAATGATTGCAGAAATTCAATTAATTTCAAAAATTTTAACAAATTTGCCTAAATTCAATGCTTCTTAATATCTATTTTAATCAAATTTTCCAAAAGAATTATTAAAAAAACGAATTAATTATTAAATTAAATTAATTAAAAATTAATTAATTAAATTAATTATTTAATCAATTATTAAAAACGAAATTTGATAAAATTATCTGCTCCAAAATTTAATTATTTTTAAAAATAATAAAAATTTCACAGGAATTCAATTAATAAATTTTTTTTATAAATTTCTTCGTAAGAATTCAATTATTTTCATAAATAATAAAATATTTTACAGAGATTCAATTATTTTCACAAATAATAAAATTCTTTTAAGGAATTCAATTATTTTCAATTTTTCATAAATAATAAAACTCATCGCAGAATTTCAATTATTTCTCGAAAAATGTAATTATTCTTAAAAATTTTATTAAAATTCATCGAAAAAATTCAATTATCTTGATAAATATCAAAATTATTTTCAGAAATTCAATTATTTTTAGGAAATTTAGTAAAATTCTTTGCAAAATTCAATTATTTCCATAAATGACCAATATTCATTACAAAAATTCAATTCTTTACGAAAGTAATAAAATTCTTTGCCGAAATTTAATTATTTTCAAAAAATTTTTCTAATTCAAAGATTTGAAAATTTATTATTTGAATAAAATTCTCCAAAGGATTCAATTAGTTTCATAAATAATAAAAATTTCATAGCAATTCAATTATTAAAAAAAGAATTGACATACATTTTTTTCGAAATAAATGTATTCTTTAATTTTTTTTTTTAAAAAACTCTTCGCAATAATTCAATAATTTTTATAAATATAGAATAAAATTTTTTTTTAGGAATTCAATTATTTTCAGAAATAATAAAGTTAATCGCAAAATTTTAATCAAATTTTTTGAAAAATGTAATTATTCTTAGAAATTTTATTAAAATTCGTCGAAAGAATTTAATTATTTAAAAATTTGTCGATAAAATTCGTAATGAGAATATTCAATTTTAAGAAACATTCAATTATTTTTAAAATTATTTATTTTTGTATTTACATTAATTGAATTCTCAGAGATTTTTCTAATAAAAATTGATTTAAAAATGAATTTCACTTAAAATTTTAGATTATAATTGAATTTTGAAAAGTTTTTAAATTAAAATCTTTGAAAATCTAAATATTTCATACCTTTAAGTAACAATTCTGTTGAATTAATTTTTTTTTAAAAAGTTTAATTGAATTTTTTTTTTTTTGAAATCATTTAAAGTTTTTATTTTCTAATTAAAAATATTTTATTGATAAATGTTTGAATAATCGAAACGTCACGTAGAATTGAATTGTAAACAAATGGATTTGAAAATTCTCAAAGAAGTTTTTTCAGAAATTATAAAAAATATTTTATTTAAAGAAGAATATTTTAGTTAAAAACTGTAGAAAATAATAATTGAATTGAAATGATGAAAATAATTTTAAAGAAGTTACAGTAAAAATATTTTTATAATTTAAAATAATGATTTTATCACTCGGTCATCTTTATAATTATTATAAGTTGTTGAATTTCAAAAAGGTCAGGAAAGAGTTAAAAATTTTGTCTGAAAATCAGAGAAAAACAAAATTAAATTTTTTTGTCAACTATGAAATGAGAAGGCGAATTTTTTTCCCCAAAACTCCTACTTCAAATAGAGCCCTAACAAGGGCCTAACTAGGAACTATTCAAAAACTTTCCTTTTCCTCACTAAGACCCTAATTCAAATATAGGAAAAAGTATATACTTGTTTAAAAAAAGTCTCCCTGGATAAATTTTTTTTTAATATAATTTCTGTTTCTCTTTCTACCTATATACAAAAAAAAAGGGAGGGAGAAGAAATAAAAAGGAGGAAAAATATATAAAAATGGACGTTTATTTCCCAAGGGAGTTAAGACACGTGCAATGCCCCGTTTAAACGAATTATTACACTTTTTCTTTGATAATAATTTTCTTTTTCGAAGGAAAAAAAAGAAGAGAGGGGAAAAAGATAGAGAGAATTTAAGAGAGATAGAGTTAGAGAGGAGAGAAGGAGAGATTGACTCTTCTTAGGAAAGTCAGGAAGTTATCCTGTCAGATTGGATTCGTAAAGTAAATTCCATATTTTATATATATATATATATTTTAGTAATTCATTCATGTCATATGACACGCGCAGGAAACATACACGTGGCACTTGAAATTCATCGCAAAATTTTGGTACTGACGATCGATGGTGCGGGTGCGCGCTTCATTTATGTGTTCTATATTGTATGTGTGTACACTACGACTAAACAACAATAGGATGAAGCATCCGGCCTACTACTCCATCCCAGGATTAATGTCACCCCAATTTTGACATATATAGCGTGAAATGTGACTTTATTATTGACGTCGCAGCGCACTCAATTTCGCAAACTGGGGTTTATTTTCATCTTTTCCTCTCCGCACTCTTCTCTTATATAGACGAAAGTCAACTAATTTTTCCCAATTTGCTAAAAATATTATTGAAGTATCTAAGTGTATAATATTGACTCGAAGGAATTTTTTCATCAAATTAAAAATAGTTTTATTATTTTAATTTGTTTTTCAAAAATCGCTTTTTTATTTCAATTTTTATTGATATTTATACTGTTCTCTAAATTTGAATTAGTTAAAAATAATTAGATAGTAAAAAATCAGTCACTGATTCAAATATAGAATGTAAATAATTTTTTTTTAAATTATCGAATTAATAGAAATTTTGGGAAATTCAACTGAAAATAATTAAATTTGTTAAAGAATTTAATTAAAAACTTTTTAACAAATCGAATTTTCAAAGTATTTTAATTTAATAATTGATAATTAATTGAATTTTATAAAAAGTCAGATTCTAATGTATTCATGTTTCTTAATGCGAAGATTAATAATTAAAATTTTTATTAGTTAATTTTAAAAAAATACACACTTGAATTTTTTTAATAAAATTCAATTTTTGCA